AAAACAAGCCCCTAGAGCTTGGTTTTCTACATTTTCTACCTTTCTTCTCTCTCAAAATTTTGTTACCAGTCACTGTGATTCTTCATTGTTTGTTCACAAGACCTCCACTTCCATCACTATTCTTCTCATCTATGTAGATGATATTCTCCTCACAGGTAGTGATCCTCATTACGCTGCTAAAGGTTCCATTTCTTCTTCTGAAGATGTTCTACCCTTTGCTCACCCTTCTCTTTATCGAAGCTTGGTAGGTGCTCTTCAATATCTCACTATCACTCGACCAGATTTGGCTTTTGCAGTCAACACTGCTTGTCAATTCATGCAATCTCCCTTAAATTGTCACTTTGCTGCTGTGAAAAGGCTACTCAGATATGTGAAAGGTACTTTAACTCATGGCCTGCATTTCTCTCCTGGTCCTCTTCTTCTTAATGCCTACTCTGATTCAGATTGGGCAGGTAATCCTTTTGACAGAAGGTCTACAACTGGATACTGCATTTACCTTGGTCCCAATCTTATTTCTTGGACTGCAAAGAAGCAGCCTACTGTGTCCAGATCTTCCTCCGAAGCCGAATACAGAGCTTTAGCTCAAACTTCAGCCGAACTCTGTTGGCTTAGCATGCTCCTCACTGAGCTCCATGTTTCTGCTCCTGTTCCTACTCTATGGTGTGATAACCTTTCTGCCATTGCAATGGCACATAATCCAGTTTTTCATGCCCGTACAAAGCATATTGAGGTGGACTATCATTTTGTTCGAGAAAAGGTTGCTGCTAAAACTCTCCACATTGCTTATATTCCGACTACTGATCAAATCGCAGATATATTCACTAAACCTCTCTCAGTGGCTCGCTTTCAATATCTTCAAAGCAAACTCTTAGTCCTTCCCAGTCCTATGAGTTTGAAGGGGACTGATAAAGATTCTGCTACTGCTGCTAAGCCTCCAGATCAATCTATTGCTGGTGCTAAGCCTCCAGCTAAGTCTCAAGATCAAAGAGTTCAAGAAGCTCAACCAGCTCAGCTATTAACTGCTGTACCTGCACATGGATAATTAGTTAGTTTGTTAGAGATTAGTTAGTTTGTTAGAGATATTAATCAAAGCTGTTATATTGTTAGAACAAGTAACTCAAGATGGTTAGATAGTTACAAGTCAGGTTAAATCTGTATTACACTTGTATAAAAGGACTGCTGTAGCTTCTATTCTGTGTATTGGAAATAGATCAAACATCTTCTCTATTTTCTTTAACTACTAGCAAGCTAAGAGGGGTTTATACAACTGCTGAAAGAAAATTAAATGTAAATTAATTTCTTGGAAACTTGTCAAACTCTGCACTAATATGGATCCTAAAAGATATATTTTCATTTTGTCTTACTTAAGAATACGCAAATGATACATTTAAATGGATTATTATTGTCTGACAAATTAAAAAGTTATTACTTCCTTTACCGGTTAACACTTTATGATATGTCACTATATACAAGTAATGCCATGTATTCTACTGTTATGTTATAGCGCATACTTCTTGACTTGGGTATAAAAGAGTGCTAATAATGCATGCTCTGTATCTGTCACCAACAAACATGGTGCCATGACCCTCAATCCCCATTTTTGGATTCAAGGGAGTAGTTGTCTCTTGGAAACAAAAATACGTCAAAGTGAACTACTCAATCATTCGCATCAGCATCCGCATCCACATCCACAAATGACAAATCAGCATACATGTGATTGGTTTCTCCATACTCTAAAATGACTAGACCAAAAACCTATGAAGCACGGGTGCGGGTACGAGTACGGTACGGGTACGAGTGCGGGTACGCCGATACGGCAAAATCCTAAAAAAGTAGGATACGAGTACGGCTGCGGCACGCTGATATTTTTTTATTTTTTTTATTTTTTATAATTATGGTTAGAAGATCCAACCCACAAATTGAAATTAAATATCAAAACTAAAAAGAGAATTATAAAACTAAAATACAAATATTAATATATTTCAATTCAACACAACCAACACCAATTCAGTCCATAATCCAAGCATAAAAAATAATATTTTTGATGATTAAAAATAATATTTGTGATTAATTATTAACATTCTGTTGAGGAAGATTAATTATTAACATCATATTATAATTATTAACATCAGATTATAATTATTTGTGATCTAATTTTTTTTTTAACATCAGATTATAATTATTAACACTTGCAGCAGATTAATTATTAACATTTTTTATCTTTTTTTTTTGTTCTAAATATGATTGGGTTCAATACCTCTCTAATATTTTTTTTGGTTCTACATCAGATTATACCACTCTGAAGAAGAAAGAAGAAACAAGAAAAAAATCAAAAAAAAATAGAGATGAAGAGATTCTGACCAGTTGCTTGGTTGCTAGGTGGCTGATATGCAGTGCAGGGGACGAATTGAAAATAGATGCTTGCTGATCTCTATATATAAAAAAAAAAAATGAGATGAAGAAGAAGAAACGAAGAAGATGAGAGAAGACGAGGGTGAAAGGAAGATTAAACAGAGAAGAAGAAGGCTAAGAAGAAGGTGAAGAAGAAGATGAAGACGAAGAAGAAGAAGACTCACCGGAACTCTTGCGTCGCCGTCGCCGGAAGGGAATGGTGGGTCGCCGTCGCCTCTCGGTGCTATGTCGCCTCTTTGCTCCACTGATGAGAGATTAGGGCAAGAGTGATGACACTAGGGCAAAACAAATTCATTCATAATTTCGTAAATATCATTTTTTTTATAAAATTTTTCTTAATATTGCTCCGGTGCCCCTCAATTCTCCAGAAAATTTGATTTCTGCCCCTGTCGTACCCAAAACGCACCAAAGGCGTACCCATGCCGTACCCGAGCCGTACCCATGACGTACCCGACAAAGGCAGACGTACCCGACTACTTTTTGCCGTACCCGGTACGCATGCAGCCGTACCGGTACGCGTACCCGCACCCGGTAAGTACCCGGTGCGTGTACGGCACTATTTTTGGAGTACCCGTGCTTCATAGCCAAAAACACATTTTTTTCACTTTGTTTGGATCGTGAGATGATAAAATAAAGAAAAATGATTGGACTTTCTCACCTAAGTGACACCACAACAAAAAACACTATTGGCGACTAAAATGGGAATTTTCGTCGCTGAAAGTCGTAGAATTGGCGACTAAAATGGAATTAGTCGCCAAAATTGGTCACTTTTGCCGACTAAAAGAGTTTAGTCGCCGAATGCAATGGTTTTAGCGACTAAAAGGCAGTTTAGTTGCCAAATATAGGGGTTTTAGCGACAAAAAAATTTTTAGTAGCCAAAGGTTAGGGTTTTTGGCGACTAAAACCATTTGGTAGCCAAACGTTAAGGTTTTGGCGACTAAAAACCACTTTGGTCGCTGATTGTACCTGTTTTGGCGACTAAAAACAGTTTGGTCGCTGAAGGTCAAGCTTTTTGGCTACTAAAAAAAATTAGTAGCTAAAAACAGGTTTGTGGCGACTAAAATTCACTTTAGTAGCCAAAGGCGGAGGTTTTTGGCGACTATAAACAGGTTTAGTCGCCAAAAGGGTAGGTTTTTAGGCGGAATAGTTTTCTTTAGCGACGGAAAATTAATTAGTAGCCCAAAAATAATAGAATTGGCGACTAAATAATTTTTTTAGTTGCCAAAAGTGATCTAAATTTTTTTTAATAAATAATTTATTTTTTACATAAATTATATTTAATAAAAATAATTATGTTTATACATATACTTTTATATTAATACGGGTCAATATACTATATAGATAATATATGTTGCATATATAATCATATGGTGTTGTAGAAGTGTAGTGGAGAGAGTGTGTTGCAAGTTGCAACTATAGTCATGAGATGGTTCAGTGGCATAGTGGGGTCGAGTGTGTGGTTAAGGTTTGGAACCACCTGGAGGTCTTAGGTTCTGAGGCAAAAAGGGAATTTTTTTTTTTTCGAAAATGCTTTTGGCGACTAAACACTGTGGTCGCCAAAAGATTGAGCATTGCCGACGAAAGAAATAGTCGCCAAATGTATAAATAATAAAAAAATTAATTCACTATTGGCGACTAATAGTTTAGTCGTCAAAGGTATAATTTCCAAAAATGAAATTGACTATTGGCGACTAAAATCTTAGTCGCTGAAGACCTGTGTATTGCCGACTAAAAGTTTTTTAGTCGCCAAAGGTATTGGCGACCGTCTCTTCGCGACAAACCTGGCGACTAAAAGATTTTGTCGGGGAAAGTGGAAATTTGACATTTGGCGACTAAAAAAGGGACTTTTGGCGACTAAAAATTTAGTCGCCAAAGGTGTATTATAAAATAATAATAAAAAAAGATTGTGGTTCCTCACCTTTTTGTTTGGAGAACAATGAGTAAAAGAGGATACATGTCCTTTTATTTTATTTGCTTTGTATTTAAAGGAGTGGTTTAGGTATTATAAATTTTTTTTGCAAAGGAGTAGTTTAGGTATTATAAATCTTTTGTAAATAGTAATTTTGGTTTCTCACCAAATCTCACCACTTTTGGTGAGAAACAAAACTTAGGTTTGGAGTGATTTGTCTTTCTCACAATTTCTCTTCTTTTCTCACAATTACTCATCTCATCACTAATCATCCAAACAAGTAACGAGAAACCTCAATTCTCTCAATTTCTTTTCTTTTCTTACCACACCAAAACCCTCCATTCTCAAACAGCTAATCTGTAATGTTATTAATTTACACTAGAAGCATAATGACAGCAAATAGACTTGACAAATCACACATTTTACCAATTTGTCAACTAAACTACATCAATTGCACGTATTAGTTGGAGCAATTAAGAGCCAAAAACAAGATACAATGTAACTAATCATATTAGAATCGAAACTACAGCAAATAGACTTGACAAATCATAAACTTTCACCATCCGCATTGATAATCTGACAGAAAAACTCACTGATTGATCACCTAAACGACATAGATTAACCAAAATCAAACATAACATGAATTAAATCTATTAAAGGTGGGAAATTACGAGTAAACCTTGGCGATGTTGAAAGCTTGTTCAAACAACTGAGACTGCCATTTTTATGGAACGGCCAAAAGATAGCAATGATGAAGATGGAGAACACCGACCAGAAGATCGCTACGATGAAGATGGAGGGGGGGTTGAATTTGGTCTCTGAGCGAGTTTCGAACACCACGATAGCCCTACACCAGCCACACCTGCTGCCATTGCTTCTCTCCCTCTTAGTTTATCTCTCTCTTTCTCTCTGTCTCTAAAACCCTCGTCGAGTTGAAGATATGAGAGGATTCCACCAGCAAATCCTTAAACCTCTCTCTCTCTCTCTCTCTCTCTCTTCGAGATATGATAAGGTTGATTGATGATATGAAAAATTGGATCGTTAGGCATGGCCATTTTAGTCTAGCCTGCAGGTCCCGCCCATATCCGATATAATTAATAATATATATATATATATATAATTAGATATAAGAAAGAAATACCAAAAATCTGTGGCCTATGAAGCACTGATACTTCAAAACAAATGTCGTATCCGTGTTGGACACGCAGACACATCAGGGACATGCAGACACTTCGGGGACACGAATGGGACACACTACATGGCGTGTCCCCTTATCTAATTAATTTATTTTCAGGGGACACTTCGGGGACACATTAGGAACGTGCCAAGTTGTCTTTTACCCCATTTTATTTAATGCTTTTGATGACTGTTGAATGTTTATTATTTATTATTTTTTTTCTTAGATTTAAATACTTAATAGATTATCAAAAAAAAGAAAAGAAGATATAAACTGTAAATGTTAGTTTAAAAGTGCTTTTAAAAAAAAAAATAGAATTAAAGTTAGTTTTTGTTGATATTGATTGTTTGTGGATGTAATATTAATCTAGATAGCAAATAAAAATATATCAAAACATATTTTATTGTCATGTCCCCACTGTGTCCGTGTCCCCATTTTTTTGAAATCGCCATGTCTCATGTCCGCACCCGTGTCTGTGTCCGTGCTTCTTAGTCTGTGGCTCTATGTAAATATAAATAAATAAGAAGTCAAATTGTCATCCCCTTATTTTGTGATAGGAAATTATTTAGTGTGTTAAAGATTTAAATGTTTCTCAATTTTTTTGACAATTTGAAATGTGATCGGGTATCCGTGGGTATCAGGTATTTGCGGGAGGCGGGGGTGGGGCTTGGAAAGTAGGGGCGAGGGCAGGGATGAGGGATGGAAAATCCGCCCCGTAGCCACCCTAGGCTATACTGCAATAAAAAAAATCCAATAAAGTACTACAAATAATTTGTTTTTTCTTTTTTTATTACTTATTTTTGGAGAATTTTTTTTGTGTTCCCTAATATTAATATTTTATAAGATAAATCACTATTTTCATAGTATTTAGCTTCCTCAACATTTTTATAAAAAAAAAATTGAATGAGAAAAATTCGTACCCGACTCAAAGAATTTCCGCCCCAACAGGGAGAAATTTCAATATGATCATAGAAAAATTTTGAAATCTCGCTGGTATGTTTTTCAAAAATTGTTGCTTCAACGTGTCTATATCATGTCATATTCATGTCGAGAGTCCATATTTGTGCTTCATAGATAACAAGAGGTTCAATCTAGAAACAATTCTAGACATAAACCTAACTCGAAGGCTTATTAGTACAGACCATCAAAGTTCGGGGTGTATAATCATGTAATCTAGTTCTGTCTTCCTAAAAATCTGTTCTCAAACATATTTTTTTGTGTTCCCTAATATTAATATTTTATAAGATAAATCACTATTTTCATAGTATTTAGCTTCCTCAACATTTTTACAAAAAAAAAAATTGAATGAGAAAAATTCGTACCCGACTCAGAGAATTTCCGCCCCAACAGGGAGAAATTTCAATATAATCATAGAAAAATTTTGAAATCTCGCTGGTATGTTTTTCAAAAATTGTTGCTTCAACGTGTCTATATCATGTCATATTCATGTCGAGAGTCCATATTTGTGCTTCATAGATAACAAGAGGTTCAATCTAGAAACAATTCTAGACATAAACCTAACTCGAAGGCTTATTAGTACAGACCATCAAAGTTCGGGGTGTATAATCATGTAATCTAGTTCTGTCTTCCTAAAAATCTGTTCTCAAACATAACATTACATTCACTCCATTCTAACTTTGAACAAGTTCGTTTCAGGCCCGTTCAATGTCCCTTCCACTCACAATAACTCTATACTTTTTCTTAACCTCAAATTTGACAATGAAAGCCTTATTTTTTTCAATTTGATATAACTCACATTTTTTTAATAAACTCACCTCACTCTGAAGACAAGGTTCAATTTAAACACAAATCTAGAGACAAACCTAACTAGGAGGCTTTGTTACAATCAGTATGGACCCTTTGGAGGTGTAGCTGCATAGTCATGCCAATCTAATGAACAACATGTTCTCAAATAGGATATTTCAATCCATTATAACTTCAACAATGTTCCTTTCAGCCTGTTTGATCTAATCCCAGCCACTTAATAACTCGCATTTGATAAAGGAGACCATTTTTTGTTTCATAACTTGCATTTGATTAAGGAACCCCCTTCACTGTTCAATCTTCAGTAACAAATATAGGATGATTAGTTCTTTAATACACATAGTTAATTTAGCTCCAGTAGACTGAAAACCAAGTTATGTTTTAAAAATGTTGAACCTATATATGACTGGTAGACTTCCTCAGCAGAAATATCCCAAAAGCAGCCCAACGAACTAGCATGACTACTAGCTAGCTAAGAGGGGTTTATACAACCGATGAAAGCAAATTAAATGTAAATTAGTTTCTTGGAAACTTGTCAAACTTTGCAACGATATGGACCGAAAGCAAATTAAATGTGAATTAGTTTCTTGGAAACTTGTCAAACTTTGCAACGATATGGACCCTAAAAGATATATTTTCATTTTTGTCTTAAGAATATGCAAATGATACATTTACACGGATTATTATTGTCTTACATATTAAAAAGTTATTACTTCCTTTACCGGTTAACAATTCATGATATGTCACTATATACAACTAATGTCATGTATTCTACTGTTATGACATTTAGTATTCACATTCGCAGACAAACATATGCTCCAAGTCCGCGAGCACAAACATGGAGGAGCTAATAATGTTGGTGTTTACAAGTAATGAAAGGAGGATGACTTCGTTTGCTGAGAAAATCATCTCCGAAGAGAAGGCCAGGCCAGTAATGAATAGAATGGAAGCATCAGTAGGTTGGGTGGACGGCCCTGAGAGTAGAGGAGAATATCATGAATGGACGACTATTTCTAGGAAGCAAAGAAAGCCTAGAGCACCCTCTACCATCTTTATAGCCAACATTCCAGAGCATCTGCAGGTAGAATCTCTGGTAAGTGTCTTTCAAAGATTTGGCAGGGTTGTTCAAGCCTCAATCCCAAATAGAAGAACCAAACGCTTCAATTCAAGGTTTGGCTTCATTCGTTATGAAAGGTCAGATTCAGTAGAGGAGGCAGGCTCGCAAATTCAATGGAGCATGGTATGGCGATTTTAAACTTATTGTCAAGCCTGCAAGGTTTGAGAGACCTCCACATCCTAAGCTCTTTCATGCAGAACAAAATCTGAGAGTCAGTCATGATGCACATCACTGTAATCCATTGATTTTGCCAAGAGATCATAACCACAACAAACTCTCCTATGCAGAGGTTGTGAAAAGAAAACTACAACCAAATGAACCAGCTGCAAGGGTTCAAGCAACTGAACCAAGCAGTAGAGTTCATGTGGAGGAAGAAGGAATCGAATGGCTTTATAGAAGTGTGGTGGTGAAAGCAAGTCTTCCACATGCAAATCAATCCATAATACTCTTTTTCACCTGAAGATGCCCAAAAAATTCAGGTGCGTGCAATGGGGGGCAAATCATGTCCTAACCTTTGAGTCCAAAGAAGAAATGAGGAATAGAATTGACAAAAATCAAGATTGGTTTAAATCAGGATTTGAAGCTGTGGTATAATGGTCCTCTTGGAAACAAAACAATCCTTGTATAAGATCAGTTTGGATCAATTGCTATGGAGTCCCTCTAAATCTCTGGAGCTGTAATACATTCAAGAGCATTGGAAGAGTTTGGGGTGAAGTGATTACGGTTGATGATTCAACACTGAAGAACCTATCTTTTGAATGCGGAAAGGTTATGATATTAACAAGTCAGTTTGAGGTCATTAACCATGCCATCAAATTGGTCTGTAAGGGAGGAGAACATGTTATCAGAGTTGCAGAGGAACAAATAATGAGCGTCTATAATCCAAAATCCGCCGGAGAATTTTCTGACGATAACATGTCTGATGAAAGAGTGCATCTGGATGATGTGGCTAATATACACCGAATACGGGAGGAGCAATGTGGCACCATGTCTGCACTGGGCAAGGTATTGATAATCCAAGCTGGAATCTCAACCGTTGGGGAGCAAGCAGCAGTGTATGGAGAAGTGGGATGCCAGATCATGCCTACAGTAAGCAACCATCCCGTTAAGGAAGCTGAAGAGTTTGCTCACTCAAAAATTCAAGAGATGGACCAAACCACTGACTGCAAAAATAAATAAGTAGCCCCCAGCCCAACCAATTCAATACTCCCTTTAAGCTCATCCTCTTCAAACTCGTCAACCCCAATTATTGTTAGCCCAAATCATAAAGCCCAACATCATAACCATTTATGTAGAGCTGGTCCACCCCATACAAAAGCAATCCACCAGGAGGGTTTTAACCAAGCCCAAACTCAAGGTACTGATACCCGCACTTTTGCTCCCCCGACCATCCCCAATCCCCATTCCCCAACTCTCAATCCTCATCACAACAATCATCTCCCACATCACCTCTAGTCCCTCTCTTCCCCTTCGAACCCTAATGAAAATTCCTGTGTCTTTTGTACCAGACTCACTTTCTCCTCATTCTGAAAACCTCAAACCAGCACGAAGGGAGAGTAAAAGGAACAGTTAATGACTGGGTTGATTCAGTTGGAAGATCCTTGAAACTGATTGTGGGTTTATCTAGGAGGAAGAGTAAAAGGA